GAGCTGGTAAGCAGAAAATTGTGCTGGCAAAATGGTGAGCGGAGCTAAAAAGCAGAAATAAGATTGTCTGTTCAGCAGCTCCTGGATAATGGTGGCCTTGTTTGGAAGAATAATCCAGTCCATTTCTTCCAAATTCTTGTTTTACGCAGATACATCAGATGCGCTATAAGCTCATGTATTAGCCTTATTGTATAACTAGCAAATTTACATCATAAATCATAAAATTCATTGTGGGTAATTTCTGGATTCTCTAATTAAATAATTTGAAATATTTGATTATTTGAAACTATTACTTAGATCTATATTCTTATAATTATGCCAAATTGTCAATTAATACTTGCAATGTAACTGTTGCATAAATAATGTCATAATTTTTAATATATAATTTTGAAAGAGAAAACATGGCTATCCTGTAAACATTCATCACATAAAAAGCATTTCCCATACATAATCAGTCTGCATCAGCAGAATTTATGTAAACATTTCCAGTTTCTCAATATTTTGAAAATGTTTCAGCACAATATTCCTCATTTGTAATATAATTCTCATAACTGTTATACAGAGCGTATAAAAACTCAACCAAATTTCTATTGATTTTTTCAAAGATTGTGTTAGTTTTACACCAAATTGCCTCGTGGCACCTGAAAGTCACAGATCCCCTCTTTCCAATGATATGTTAATTTTATTCACACACAGTCATGGATGGTTAAACAATCTTCGGGGGCAATGAGACAAAGAGGGCTTGGGACCACGTTTTACTTGAAACACCAGCATAAATTCTATTCAGCTTCCTGCTCTCCTATGAAATGTTTTTTATGAATGGGCCAGATGCAGGTCAGGTGAATCATTACGTATCTTAATTAATGATTGTAATGATTTACTTTGTGGGGATTTTAGGCCTACAAAAAACAAGTGTTTTATTTCGCTCATAAAGTTACCATTATTGTCCATGATGGTTCGGTTGACTACAGAGAAGAGAGTATTTATGGTGACTGAGTACGCTCGTACCCAAAAATTTAAAGATAGTGCAAAAATTATTCCAAGGAAGATATCCTGACCGTGGTCCTCCAGCCAACCATATAAATATTATATCATGATACACCTAACTGCAATTGGAACACATCTGACCTATTCATTGCAAACATTTCATTGGAGAGAGGGAGAACTGAGTAGGACATCTGCTGGCGTTTCAACTGAAACTTGGTCACAAGGCCTCTTTGTCTTATAACCCACAAATAATAATTATTCAGCCATCCATGGCCATGTGTGAATGAATAACATACCATTGGAATGAGGGGATCTGTGGCTTTAAGGTGTTACTATAGGCATTTCAGAGTAAACTAACACAATTTCCGAAAAAATCAATAGAAATTCCTTTGATTTGTTTTTCCTCTGTAGTTCAGAATAATGTATAGGCTCATCTGATATTTAAAGTTAAATTAAAGGCAAACAGTTTAATTATTCTGCTGAGATTTTTAGTGCCATTAATTTCTTCCCTCACTGTGTAAGTGGTTTTGCATGCCTTGGGCCGATGTTCAGGCTAAAAATCAAATACGGAGAATTGCGTTACTTAAAAAAAAAATTATTCATATTTCATTACATAGTTTTCATATCATATGATACCACGATTCAGAATTGTTCAAGAGAAGGGTATGCTGAGACTTATCATTTTGGCCAACTAGCAGCTGCATTTATGATTATCAATAACATTGTTCATACACAGCATTTCTACAAATGGCCGATACTCAAGATTCTTTGTGTGAAAGACATACCGATTGTGTTTATTATGTTCAGTCAAAAGGGAGTTAATTCTGAATAATTTTTCCCTGTTAAGATGCTCTTCACGTTGGTACGTGAAAACGGGGTCATGTCACAAGACCGAGGCAACAAATCACTGTTCAAATGTGTCTTTTAGGACGCGCTATATACTGTTTATAAAGGTTGTAGCAATAAAATAAAGTTTCTCAAGCAACATATACGCCATGGTTTGTGCTTCCGAATATGTCAACATTGACTATTGCTTCTCTGTGTATTTTCAAATCATGTTTTCACACACCTTGACTTCTCCTTTCTTTTTCAATTCACTGCCCCTTCGCCTGTGATTTGGACGGATCATTAGCCTACAAGTACATGGAATAAACAGTACTTTCATGGCAGTTTTACCGGAGATTATAAAAACAGCTGATTTAGAGGTAAATCTTAACTCGATGGTGACATGGCGCTGTTAATCAGTCACAATCGATTGGCAAGCAGTTTGAAGTGAGCGGTACAAAACAGTCACCTAAAAGCTGGAATAACGTCTCATAGAATGAGGAGCTAGAGTCGTAGTTTTATGACGAACGGGGCAGAAGACTCCAGTGGGAAAGTAACCCTCTACCTGAACCGCTGTGGCCGACATCTGTGATGACGACACAGGGGTGGTAAAATGAAGATTGAATGAAATACAGCAAAGAAAAGAAGGGGCGATGATATTAAAGCCTTGCTCTTTAATTAAGGCACCCGTCTCCAGAAGTCAGCATAGTGTAATGAGCCCAAAGCTGTCACGCTGAGTAACGTGTTCATGTTGAGCGTGGTCGCAAACTCATCCAGGATCTTGACGAGTCACGATGAAGTCAGTTTGCTGAAGCTCTTCAATTGGGGTTTGACGAGGTTTTTCTCAAATAGCAGAGTATTTGAAGGTACCCATAATAGAGAGTATGGACTCCTTGATGTAGTCAACCAGATGAGTGCTGTCAACGGATTCTTGCGCAGCGTTTACTCGTCATTTCTAGAGAACTAGGACGTAAGCGCTGTTAAACGCTGTTTACAATTAAAATGACAAGAAAGTGCATGCAACCACACTGTAAGCAGGAAGTGTTTCCACCGAGGAAGAATACTGTGCCTGCTGATGAGGAAAAGAACCAGCATGGGTAAATGCGTGAAATATGCTGCACCAACAGCACTGTTCAAGGTTTTATTTAATGCGACCCGATACTTTGATGGATGGCGAAAATCGGAGTTTAATCAGTTGTCACTATGAAATGCTACCGGGTATTTTAAGAACTTATAGGCCTGATACCTAGCGTAGAAATAGAGAATCAAGACTGTAGAGATCCCGAACACGGCCAGAGAAGACAGATGAATGAAAGAGGTAGACTATCAGAGCGCTTGAATACCGAAACCACATAAAACCATGCCGGAAGTTGTCATGGTTCAAGGGACGCATTGAATTAATTGTGAAGGGAATATGTAAAATAAGCTTGACAAGGTAGGCGAATGAGAACAGCAGGCAGTAGGCAGAGTCAACGAACTGATAAAACTGTAATGAAGGCAGACATTCATAAAGCTGACTGAATAAGCATTGTAATTCATTGTAAAATCCTGATGAAGTCATTAAGAGAAGAAGCTGAAGAGTTCCATTGTTGAAGATAACTACAGACGGGGGTCGATGAAGCAAATAGAATGGAATGTTCAAGGTCAGGAAACACCTTTGTTTCACAGAGATGAGGTTGAAAACAGACTGGTCGAGATGATGAAGAATGAAGTTCATTCGCAACAAATATTTTCTGTGTTAGCTACAGTAGATGATGGACGCTGGGATCCAACCTAAAACACGGCTGAAAAAAGGAAGAGGAGAAAGGCACTTGCAGGAAAGTAAAAGTGCAAGAAAATGACCCTAATAGATAAGGAGGCAGGTGAGATGGATGCAGCATTACAGTGCAAATCTGTAAAGATGTTTAGAGTTGTGTAGTTGTTGTGAGAACAGCTAATTATATGTATATTTCGAAGAACGTGCTGTACTCGTTCTCCTAAACGAGGTAGCTTCCTTTTCTGTGAATTAATAAGAAAACCTGGCTCTTACTGACAACTCCCACATAGCTCTTCTACCATGTGTTTTTGGTATACTAGTAGAAATATACAAATGAGCGCTGCGAAACGTTGACACTGGGTACCCGGTGAACACGAAGGGCAAATTCTAAAATGGAAAGCTGAACTAATAAAGAATCACTCATGTCAAGTATATTCTGATGAAGACACGAAAATCGACCTACTACATCGGAAGGATACACTTCTCTGAATTGTTTTCCTCAAAAGATGCCGTCTTTAAATTTGTACTCGTGTATTGCCCTGAATAAGTAAAAGTACCCTAAAGTAGTCACGAATGCTCTAATCCTTACATTAAATTGTAATATAAGAAGTGGATGAAGACGAGAAAGCTTTGGAAGTCCCAACTTTTAACAAATAGGAAAGCCAACCAATTTGCAAAAGAGCCATTCTCAACTTACGGGCAAAGACTAGTCTCAGCATACATATGCCATATTCTGCAGTACGGATTAATTGTTGGACCATTCTTATATTCAATTCAGGCGTACACATTGAGTAGTTTTAACCACTTCTGAGCCATTTGGGGGCAGCAACCATCACCTCTACATTGAAGAATCTGTATTCTGTTCCATTCTTGATTTCAAAGTCAACATAAAGTCACGGGAAGTGATTATTATATAGTATCCGTTCACAATTCTGTTTAATCTCAGAAACTTCTGCTTAAATAAAACTTTAAAAGAATCCAATGTCCATGTATCACCAACCTGTAAAGTTGCTTAGATCAATGCACACAGCAGAGCCCCCTGTTGAATAAGTGCAGCTTCAGTAGCCTTCGAATAGACAGCCGTCGAAATATCAGGTCAATAGAATGCAGAAGGCTGACTCCAGTGGACGTCGTGCAACATGCAGTAGATGGGTTGCAAAAGTTTTTTTGTGCTATTGTAGGTAAATTATTCACATGAAAGTAAAAAGCTCCAGTTGGCCGGAACCATTTTGAAGGCGTGGACAGCTCTGATACAGCGTAGGAACACTCGGAAGTCACCGACGCTGTAATAGTAGACTATGATTGGCTGATGGTCGTAATACATTAGCAGTTGGATGCAGAAGAGTACGTTGGAGTTTTGCAGAAAGATTGAGGGGTGCATGACTATAAAAGAAAAACAAGATTCATGAAACATCACTCACGGTTTCGTTTTTTAACCAATTCGTAAAAAGTGAGCAGAGTATTGTGTGTTTGGGTGTTTGTTCCAGTGCTGGGATCAACCGGCATTGTATGCAATCCTATTTTTACCTAACCTCGAATGCGACCGACAAATTGACCCAATCTGTAAGACAGTCTACCCTAATCCCTCGAGTTTGATTTTCCAGCCAGCCCACTGAAATTCGTTGATTTCTTGCTGATCAACGTAGTGGACGAATTGCTCAACTCTTGGGACTCATATTCAGCTAATGCACGGGATCTGGTAATATGACCTACGATCGGGTGATGTGGACATCTGTGTCTGGATTAACATTTGGTAAGTTTTGCCAGGTTGCAAGTTCCAAACTTGTTTGTTCGGGAAATAAACCTGTCCTATCAGAAGACAATAAATGACCCAATTATCAGTCTTCGTGTATTTGCACTGAAAATTCCCAAATGTTTAAGTTGTAATGTTTAGCGCATGTTGTCATAGGGCCTAGACGGAGAAGTTGTCTCAAAGCACTCAACGGAGCTAAGAAGTGCCATCTTGACAAATTTTAGCTCAGGTCCACTTTTCCCAAACGAATCTCAAATGGTGAGCATACTGAGAAACAAACTTTAAACAAATCTCCAAAAATATAGTGGAAAATATAATGTATGATTAATGAACATGGAAAAATGTATCTCGTGAAAACTGTTTGTGTCCTAGATAGAAACAAGGTTTCTAAATGCAGACTTCACGAACAAACTTGAGAATATATATCTCGACCAAATGTATGGAAAATGTTTAAAAACAGACTTTGAAAGCGCACTTCACATTTTTAAAATATATAGTTGATAGCACAAGAGGACTTTCGTAAATTCTGAAAGTGAAATTAGAACAGTGGAAATAGACAATAAATGCACAGCCTGGACAATGACAATAGATGAAAAAAGCATCCATCAAAAACCACCAAATCGACTGTTATCTCCGAAGTATTTTAACAACCTTATTTTACGATATTTATCATACAAGCCAAACAAACAATGTTATTTTGAACCGTGCGCACAAAACCCTACCTAGGCCAGTGCTAGTAATGGATGACTTAAAGGCACTGGACACCTTTGTTTTTTGGTCGGAAGGCCACAAACGATAAAAACTCGGGTATTCCTCAGGTATTGCCCCGACGGTTTGGTTTGCTGATTGACGGCGCCGACCTTGGTACCACAGCCAATAATTTTCAAAAGTTTCAACAAAAATAACTTCTTGTCAACCAACTGAATTACTCTTTACTTTGACTGAATCAGCAGTATAAGAGCCATCCCGGTAAAGGACGTGCACAAAAACATTTACACCGTAAATCCTTTCCCCTCGAACTCTGCTTAAGAGTAATGAAAAATGCAAATAAAATCCCTTTCAAAAACATTTCGTCACTTCATCCCTACAACAGTAACCCATTTCCTTTTGCTTTTACAGACGCCCACATTTGTCGAATTCCAAACTTCAACAACACAAGTCTGTTAATCTCTTTTTAAGTAATATGGAGCTCCCTGCCCTGTCTATATCCTTTCTGTCGTTAGTTGGTCTATTGCTGATCATAGATGTTTGCATGGCATCGGCGGAGTGGCAAGGAGATCTGTCAGCCTATGAGCTAGCCAGCTTCCATAATCCTGATCAAGAAGATGTACCTCGAGCCCAAACGTTCAACCATTTTACCTTGAGTGATCATGGTGATGTCTATGTTGGAGCTGTCAATTGGTTGTACAGGTTCAATAGTAGGTTGGAGCAGATACAGAATGCTTCAACGTGTGATGACAGTATGCCTTACAATGGGATGCCGTGTCGTCGTACAAATAACTACAACAAGATACTGGTAGTTGACAGTACTCGGCCGAACAGTCTGATAACCTGTGGTGGCGTGTTTGATGGTATATGTCAGTTACGACATCTACGGGATATAAGTATTGTAGAGAGTGAATCAACCCCGAATGTCGCAGGGTTCGAGGATGCAACTACTGTTAGTCTGATTGGCCCCAAAAGAGATTCGAACAAAATGCTTTATGTTGCTGTCACGTATACTGGTGAAAATGTTATCAGTAAAGCACAATTTCCAGCAATCACAAGAAGGAATCTTACAAGCAATCCCATTTTAAGTGTTTTATTACATAATGCAGTTTTTCTCAGTGGCGCTGCCTCAGGGGTTGACTTTACCATTAAGTACGTTACAACTTTTGACTTCACTGGATTCACGTATTTCATTGCCTCCCACAAAGAGGATCTGATGTCTGCTCATTATGTTTCCAAGATCAGCAGAGTCTGTCAGACAGGCCCAAATCTAGATGCATACACCGAAATCACCATGCAGTGCAGTGGATCAGATGGTAGTGTGTACAGCTTGGTGCAAGCAGCTCACTTTGGACCAGCAGGACCTGATCTAGCCGCATCATGGGGTCTCCATGCAGACAAGCAGGTGTTGTATGCTGTGTTTGCCAAGAACCAAGGAGCTCAGGGCACCAGTCATATACCTACCGACCATTCAGCAGTGTGTGTGTACAGGATGACTGACATCTTGGCTGGCTTCACAGAGGCAGTGCGGGGTTGTATTCAGGATGGAGAGGACTACAAAATAAGCTATTTGCATGGTTCTACATGTAGTAAATTTAGGGTAAGTCAGAGTGACGTTCAGCATTGTGTGACTCAAATCTTGATTGGCTTCAGAGAAGCAGCACTGAGTACTGCTCCTCTGGGTTTTAGAGAAGCAGCAAGGGGTTTTATTTGGGATGGAGATGCATACTCTGTAGGCTGTTTGGATGGATGTCTCTGAAATTAATTTCAGGTGGGTAAAAAGATTGTCTTGTCACCTCCCCACTCAGCATTGTTTGTGTACAGGATGACTGATATCATCTGCCTCTAGACAAACAGTTTAAGGCTGCATTCATGGTGGAAATGCACACTTTATAGGCTATTAATTTGCAGGGCTCTCTTTGTAGCAACTTTCTGAAAAGTAAATCAGATTATGGGAGAGATTGGAATATTGCATGAATCTATTCATTTATTTAAATTCACTGCATCGCTACACAATCCACATAATTTGAGAAATAATTCATGATGTACTATATTAGCTAAAAAGTTCTTAATATTCACATGAGAAAGACGTAAAGAAGGTATGCTGCAGTTTATCTATTTTAAAGATTAAAATTTTAGTGCTTAAAAAAGAAAAGGACATTAGCAGGTTCCATCTAGTGTACGAATTTTTTCTGCACACACCAACACAAAAACCGTGATGCATCGATACCACATTTACAGAGAATACTGACTAATGAGACGTGCGGCGGAAAAATTGTCCAATGGAGACACTCTTTTGGGCTACATTATTAACACAAAAAGTGCCGGCTTATTTTGGCCCATCTCATAGCCAGTGGGCGGATTACCCCCTTCCGGAGAACTCGGCTCTGCCAGTTTTTTCTTTTTAAAACTTAGTTTGGGTGTAAAACACTTTATCATTACAAACAGGAAGATTGTACTTGATCAGGCGCATGGTTTTGTTGTTGCGGTCATTTGAAGTTCAAGGCTACGTGTGCCAGCCAACGGGCATTAAAATTCGACCTGCGTAAGAACTTTATATTCGATTTTCACAACATTGGTTTAAAAATGACTGCAAAGAGTTAATCTAAGAACTCCTTAAGGTGCAACTCTTGGAAAAAAATGCACTGTGGCGATATCGGAAAATTGTCGAGGGGGCGATTCTGCACCCGGCTCTTTCAGGGTTGTTAAATCTTCTGCGGAAATCTTTGTTAAACAGGTTGGATTTGATTTTGCCAACAGAATGTTCAACCCGACAACTTTTTGTGTAATCCTGTTGCTGATGACACGAATTCGCTGTACAAGTATGCCAAAGGGATCACTCCAGTCTCGTCTACAGCCTTGCTGGAAGAGCCAGGTAATCATTTGTTTTGAGTGTGTAGATGTAAGGTTGTTTTCTTTTCAAGCTCAGTATGTTTATAGAGATTCGCTTATGTAAAGCACTTTGCAATATGTTATGCATGATTAATTTGTATTTCTTCGTTTATTCTCATCTTCTAGAGGGCAGTAAAATTAAAGAAGGTAAACCTGTATACAATATTTTTTACCATGAGAATGCTATATCCTTCAAAACTAAGTGAAGTAACTGAGCCATTGAAATCAACGAACAATTTTTCTTCAGGTACCCTGATGTCATCCATCATTACCAGCACTGAATTCAACCATACTGTGGCCTTTTTGGGAACGTCAAGGGGAGCTCTTCTGAAAGTATCGTTTTAAAGAGATCGCAGCCTTTCTTTCTGTTCTTCTGAACCTAGGGAACTTTACAATTTACCAGTAGCAATCTCATCGGTTGATATCCACAGAAGGAGGATTTATAAATTTTTAAAAAGTAGACCTGCACTGTCTCTCCTTCAAACTTATTTACCCAATCAGTATTTTTAGTCAAAGTCAATTTTAGTCAAACATGTTAAATCTTCTCACTGCAAAGATCTGCAAAGAAATTTAAGTTTACTCACCAAACGTTGTCATTTTACACTATACTTAATGCCATGCGAATTTCTTTTGCATGATTCAGGTTCACATCGAAAATAATACTGCAGCAAGGTTGTATGAAAGAGTGATTTTAGATTCCCGTCCGGTACTGACGGACATGACAATAAACGACACAACCACAGAAATGCATGTACTCACTGAACAAACGGTATGTTTAAAAAGTAACTCCAGGTTTACTCCAACTTCAAGTTGTACATCCCATCAAACTTTTCCAAGTTTATATCTTTTCATGCAAGATGGGATGCAATGAAGGTGTAGACTGCATGTGGAAAATGATTAGTTTCAAACTCTCACATGATATACAATAATAGTAATTGAAAAGTTCATTGTTTTAAAAGTTTTTCACTTTCATTAAAGTATGGAAGACATTCAAGGCAATTAATTTGTACTACTGATTTTTGACTGATATTATTAATACAAAATGTAATTATTTTCAAGTTCAAGTTAAAAGCTTTAAAAAAGGAAGGAGAACAACGAATGTAAATCTCACTTTTAATCTCTATATTCCTAAAATGCGTTCGGCGAATCATCACGGCCTTTGACAGACAGTAGGTGAGCCACAGAATCAGATATTTCTCCTTTCTTCCCACAGTTGATCAAAATGCGAGCTGAGAACTGTGGTCAGTAC